AGAAGAAAAATTGTACATGGAAATCAGCATAACAGAAGCAAAAAAGTTACATGTGATTATTCAGCTCCTTTCCCCACCTCCTGCTTGACACCATACATAGATGTTTCCTATGCCCTATTGTGCACATCAGACATGAATTGTGAGGAGAACCTAAAAACAGGATGGCAGATTTACATAAAAGAGAAAAATAGGGAAGAAAAGAAAAGAAGAAAGAAAGAAACTGTAGGTTGAAAGTAGGGAGAAGGGAGTTAAGGGAGAGAATAATGGTGAAGGGAAAGCCTTCACATCCACTGAGAAACAGAAGAAACATGGAGCATGAAATGAGCTTGGGAAGGGTGGGATCAGGGCGGGTTTCTCTTGGTAACAAACAGCCTTTGACATTTATTTGGAGTTAGTTTTAATTTTATTTGAATGCTGAACTGAATTTCTTTGAACACAACCACATGGGTTGATGTGGTTTCATTAGAGCAATAGTTCACCATCCAAAAACTGGGAAAGAAAAAAAGCCATAACCCTAACAATACACTGACTTCTACATGGTTAGTCCACCTTGAATATTACTGAAGTGTTTTATGGCTGTTACAAAGTGTCACACAGAAAGAAAATGAGCCTCTTCCTCTGGTCATTGTTATGTCTGCTTGTGACTTCTGGGCCCCTGCAGCCATCATGCAGTCATGGGAGGGAGTTAAGCAACATTTGAAGTCAATCCAAAGCCAGTGGAGCAGAAACATGGAGAGTGCCTTGTGCCTGGACGATGCGGTTAAGCCAAAGATTAACTCACACAAAGACCACCTCCGAATTCTATTTGATGGTGTCCCTTCCTTATAGTTAAGTGTGTTGAATTAGGATTTTCTGTTACTTGCCCCCGAAAGTATCCTGTTTCAAGCTTCTGCCCATGAAGGAATAATTCCTACAGAACTTGTCCTTCCACTTTAAACAACTAGAAATCTAGACAAAATATATGAAATGATTATTTTCAGGGAGTAGACAACAGGAAGTGGAGGGTGGAGATTCCCGAAGGAAGGCAAGCCCAGTGGCTTGGGCTAGATCTAGCCTTGATCAGCAAAGGTGCTCAGTGAAACAAGACTGGTTCTTTGATGAGAGCAATGAAACTGATAAACCTGTAGCTATATTGATCACAACAAAAAAAAGAAGACAGAGATCACCCATATTAATGATGGAAGATGGAACCACAGAGTTTACTTAGACCGAAAGGTTAAAAGAAGACTATTTGAACAGCTTCAGGTAAGAGGAAAAAGTCCCTTGAGCCTGGGGAGCCTAGGTGGCTCTGTCGGTTAAGCGGTTAAGAGTCAGCTCCGGCTCAGGTCATGATTTCACGGTTTATGAGTCCGAGCCCCGAGTTGGGCTCTGTGCTGACAGCTCAGGGCCTGGAGCCTGCTTCAGATTCCATGTCTCCCTCTCTCGCTGCTCCTTCCCCACTTGTGCTCTGTCTCTGTCTCTCAAAAATAAACAAACATTAAAAAAAATTGTTTTTTAATTTCTTGAGCCATAAAAACTACCAAGCCTGAGAAGAAATAGAAAATCTGAGTAATCCTATATTCATTAAACCATACATTTATTTGTTAAGTTGAATTTCTAAGTAAAAACCTTCCAACAAAGAAAACTCCAGACCCACGTAGCCTCACTGGTGAATTCCATCAAACATTTAAGGAAGGCAAAGTAATCCTATACAAACTCTTTCTGAAAATAAAAGCCTTCGCTACTCATTGTATACTGCACGTAGTGGCAGAGAGAAGACCTAACTTTCCTTTGCACCTCCAGCCTCCAAGACAGGTGAGTGGATGAACACATGAGTGAGTGACTGAAGTGGGCTTCTCACTGCCATGTGCTTTGGGCAAGTAAATCTGCCTGTAGCCCCAGCTGTGAACAGTGACGTCCATAAGCCCATCATGGTTTTCCCATTTGCCTTGACTATGGTCGGTTCAGTGGTGTCCTGTGACTTAGTTCCAACCACTGAGAAGTGAAGGTGGTGGCGGTGGCTCCTTCCTAACTCACTCCTACTGAGTGTTAGGGCCCCTAACAACCTAAAAACAACTGTATTTCTTGTTTTAATGAACCTACTAATGTAAATAGGAACAGTTCCAACTACCATTAAAAGAAAGCAGGGGTGCCTGGGTGGCTCAGTCGGTTGAGTATCCGACTTCGGCTCAGGTCATGATCTCGAGGTCTGTGGGTTCGAGCCCCGCATCGGGCTCTGTGCTGACAGCTCGGAGCCTGGAGCCTGGAGCCTACTTCGGATTCTGTGTCTCCCTCCCTCTCTCTGCCCCTCCCCTGTTCATGCTCTGTCTCTCTCTCTCTCTCTCTCTCTCTCTCTCTCAAAAATAAATAAACATAAAAAAATTAAAAAAAAAAAATAAAAGAAAGCATAGGTTTGTGACTGTTCCTAAAAAAATCCAGACTCACAACCATGCCCCTACATACCTACCAGCAGTGAGCAGCTTACAGTTTGAAAGCAGTTTATGATCATTAGTTATTAGTGATAATGATTGATAAACAGCCACCGCCCTGTTCCCATAGCTTTTTGAAAGCAAACCTTGATGGAGTGCCAGTGCTGTCCCCATTCTGCTTCCGGGGACGGGGACGTATCATAGGGGAGAGACTAAGAATTTCATAGTGGGCAGGGAGGAAACTCGAAAAGCAAGGAGTGCAGCTCAAGAAAGCATGCCTTACTTTTTGAGATTAAGAAATGTGCTGATTTAAAGGTGAAAGACATTTGCCGAAATTTGTCCCCTCTTTTTTCTCCAATACTTAGGCTGTTTATTGGGGTCCCTTTCTCTCCAGCCCATTTACTGGAGTAGGGCCTTGCAAAGCCGGTCTCCTAGCAGCCAGTGCAGAAGGCCCATTCGTATCACAATGGACGGGAAGGAAAGAAAGAGCCTGGTTTGTTTAAACTGCCTCTGTCTTCATTCACAGCCTGATGTCCGTCTGCATTGTGACACCCACAATGGCACTAAAGGACCCATTGTGGCCGAAAACAAATCAAAACAGAATAAGGGATGCTAAGAAAAAGAGCCATGCAACAAAATTGCTTAAAAAACCTAAGTCTTACGTCTGAGATTTATGTTACCTTTTGGCTGCGCGGCCTATTGCCCGGTGTTTATAGTAACCACTGGAGTTTAATGAAAAAAAGATAAATGCCAACTTCACGTACGTTTTTAAGGGCGGTACACAGGGAGGATGGGTGTGCTGGGCTGCTTCGGAAGCTGTTTAATAATTGTCGTTCTTTGTTTGCACAACATTTGGGGAGCCGCACTCTGCACTTTGTGTTTATTTTCCTTCTGATAAACATGCCCGAGCTACGCCCATGTGGCCCAACAGCGGCCCCCACACGGTCGCTCCCGCCCGCACCCCCACCCGCTGCCCGAACCGACATCAGATGTTGCAAGAACCACGCCCAGTTCAGCGGGCAACAGGTGGAAGGTTGAATAGCTTCACACGTTTTTCGGGAGAGGGGGTGGGGAAAGAGAGAGAGAAAAAAGGAGGGCGGGAGGGCAGGCTTTCGGGAGCCGATTTAAGGATTAGATCAGATGTTATTGCTAGTGAAAAATTAAACAGCCCGGTGCTCTGGGGAGTGCAGATTAATATATTTAGTGACTGTGCGCACAAAGGCTGCTCATTGTGGCCACGTCTGAATGCCTGTGAATAGGATGGAACATATGCGGCCTGTCACCGCAGGTGCCCACATCTGTTCTCCCCCGGGCAGATGCTCACAGAAAAGGGGAGGTGGGGAGGTGGGAAGGACAGCGCGCTCGAAAGCTTCGCCTCGCCCAGGGCTCCTCGGCCGCGGCCCCGGGCTGCGCGGGTTCGGCGGGGACCCTCCGTGGGGAGGGCCCCGGGCCAAGCCACGTTTCCGGGCGACTCCGTTTTAGAGCCTCGGGGCACAGGGTCGCAGCCCCCAGGCGCCCCCCGCCCGCGCCAGCCGGGTGATTGACGGGCCGCCCCAGGGCCCGGGCGACAGGTGCCCGAGACCCGCCGCCCCCCCACCCCCGGGCGGGGGCGCGCCCTGGGGGAGTAGGGCCTGGGGACAGGGCCGGCCGGACGGCGCCCCTCAACGCCCTTTCTTCCCTTCCTCATTGTGTGCCAAGTCCGAGGCTGCGGTTTCCAGGTGCGCCGCTTGGGCCCGGGACCAAGGATTCCCGCCGCGGACGCGGACAGGGGACGGCCCGCGTTCAGGTCTGGCCTCCCAGAGGCCGCACCCCTCCAGGGGCGCACGAAGGGCGCGCCGCGACCCTGCCACCGCTCCGGGTCGCCGCACGCGGCTGGCACGGGCCCGTCCCGAAGTCGACCTGGGCCCTCGGGGTGGCCCTGCGTCACCCTAGCGCCGCACCTGCCAGTGGCTCGTGGGGGTGACCGGCCTCACGCCCATGCCCCCCTGGCCCTTGCAACCCATCGCGGGCACCTCTCCGAGCCACCACCTCTGGGGAGCCCTCCGGCACTGCGCCGCGGTCCGGCACAGCCCCTCCCGGGCCGCAGCAGCCTCCGCCCCACGCCCCCCTCGGGGCCCCCGCGCGCTCAGTCGCAGGAAAGTTCTGAGGGGCCACTCGGGGCGGGCGCGCGGCGGCGGGAGCAGCTGTGCGGTCATCCGATCCGGGACAAAGGCGTGCCCGCCGGTGCCGGGCCAGGTAAACACGCGCTTTGTCATGGAGATGAGCGCGGGACAGCCCGAGCAGATGATCCGCGGGTTCGGAGGGTGACGCCGCCAGGCAGGGGGGGGGGGGGGGGGGGGCGCGGGGGGGGGGTGGGGACCCGTCATCTGCGCCGGGGCCGCCAGCTTGAACACGATCGCCCTTTCTCATGCAAAATCAGCACATGCCTGCGGCTTCTCGCTGGACCTGCGACCTCACCGCCCCGCATCCGCAGGAGGGTGTCCCCCGTCTGCGCGGCACCGCATTTTGCAAGCTCTGGGACTGGGTGCCTGCTTCCCTTCCGCGCCACATTACCTGCCAACTCCCACACTGAGGAAGGTTAGATGACACGCCATGACCCTGCCCCACCGGGAGCCTGAGTGCCCGCCCACAGTCTCAGCGGTAACCTGCTCTGAGAAGGGAAAGCTGGGAGAAGCTGTCGGGACCTCTGTTTCTCCTGCTGGGGTCTGTCCTCTGCACTGCTTACACGCCCCATGAACCTGACGGCCCAAGTCACTGTCCTGGCGTGTGGGCCATCTCTGCTATGAGGGGGCTGCCCCAGGAAGAAGGAACATGGATGGGGGCCTCACTGGGTTTGCTGTGACCTGTTTATTCTCCAGCAACAGGAGGCGGTGTCTAAATGTAAGCTAGCTCTGCCCGCCTCCCCTTCTTTTTCCCTGCTGGGTATGAATGGGTGGCTTAGGTCAGAATGTACGCCGACACGACGGATCCTAGGGGGCTCAGTCCCATTATCCATAGAGGGTGTTGGTGTGTGTGTGAGGAAAACAGAGCTCAAGACAGCCTTAAGAAGTAAGAAGTAAGCGTCCCTAGTGACTACACTACACAGACCCAGGGCTTACGGAAGAGATCTGCACCTTCACAGCAAGTTGGTCAATTTGTCTGCTATTTTAACCACTTTGTAATTCCAAAACTGCTGTGGGAGGTACGGGCTTCTGTTTGTGGAATAAGTAAGTCACGGGGATGAAGGTGCAGCATAGGGAACATAGTCAATGGGATTGTAATAGCGTTGTATGGTTAAAATACCCAAACTGTGACTGATGAGAAGGGGCAGTAGGATGTATTGCTGGGGGATGTGATACTAATTAATAAACATGCTTTAGGTCCCCTCCTCCTCCTCCTTCTCCTAGTAACCTGGCATGTTTGATCAACACCAGATTTGCTGCTTGGAAGTTTTTTTATTTTGTTGTCCTGAACAAGGACTCTAATTCTTCTCAGGAATAAGAGAACCTCTCTGTTGGGTATACAGTATTCAGTTGGTGTAAGAAAACACAAACATCACTCCAGTCTCCAGACTTGTTTATACAGAAAACTGAACCTGTGGCTGGCTTAGACTCTGGAGCCTATTCTGGGCATTGTTTTTTGCAATCTGCCCAGACCCTCCTTCCTCTTCCCACAACCACCACACACACACACACACACACACACACACACACACACACACACACCCTGAGAATAGAACCTTTCTTTGGGCAAAAGGGGACTGAAACAGATTTGGGTGTCCACAGTATTTCGTCACACCACTACTGAGGTGGCCACATTTAATTTGATAAAATGATGACTGGGAGCCTTTTCCCCCAAGTCGCCTAATAAAATGATGGAGAAAATAACCAGGGTCTCCAGTAAACAGGGAACTTAGCTGTAGTTGTTGTGGCCATGGTTCTGGTCATACAACCCGAGCCTACCCTAGCCACTAGGTTATTCAGGCTATGAGCTATGCACGCCTGGCAAAACTAAAACCCCACCACCAGGCAGCAAATCTCTGTGTCCTCTCCTGTGTCTGATGGATTGGGTGCCTTCTAAGCCCTAATGAGTCTCACTTTGTACAGTAAATTTGCTGAGAAATCAAAAAGTATTTAAAAGAAAGTTTCCTGCTTTTTCCTAATAAGCAAGGTGAGGATTTATGGTGTGCGGGGAGGAGGGGATCTGGCCACTAGGGCCGGCGTGGAGGCAAGTCTATTTAACATACTCTAGCTGGAGCCTCCTCCTGCATTTAGGGGGTTCAGAGTGCGTTGCGGGAGTATAGAGACACGCAGTCAGGAGTGGAAAAACGCCATTTGGTTCGGAGCAGATGGCTGGCTAGGGGGCTGATGGCGTCTAAAGGCGTGTCCCCCCCTTCAGCCTGAATCCCTAAGGGCTCCCCTTGTCTTCCCAATCAATGAAAATTAAAGTGCAAAGAAAGGCTGAATAGTTGGACCTCGAGTCTCTCCTTTGTTCATCTCAGCTACTGGTGTGCAGGAGTTAAACTACAACAGGCCCCTACAGAAACACAGAAGTTAAACAGTCTCCCGTTAGCTCAGCTTTGAAAGGGAGAGGGGGAGAGGGACCAGCGTGAGGTGGGGGGAGAGGGAAAGAGGAGGAGGAGGAGGAGGAGGAGAAGAAGGGG